AAAAGCATCAATTAAATCCATCTTATCTAGTTTGTCATTTAAGGCCACTACTTCCTTATTGATGTTCTGTCCGGAAGATCTAGCCATTGATGCCAATGAGGTGTTAAAATCCCTGACAATAACTGTATTACTGTCAATCTCTCCATTTATGTCCATCAAGATTGCTTTATATATGTACTCCTATGTTGTGTACATAAATATTTACAATTAATCCTCTTGTTAGATTGATCCTTCAATCATTATGTAATGTCCTTTTATATCATTTACTGTAGCCTTTGTTTTAAAGTCTATTTTGTCTGATACAAGTACATCTATCTCAGCTTTGTTGTTGTTGCTGTTACCATTTGCATGAACATTTGCTGTTACATTTTTCCATGCTTTGGCTTTTAGTGTGAGTTTGTCTTTCATTTTGAGGTGTGCCTTTTGTAGATGGCATATATATAGATCTTGTTTTGTTTTCATATCCATTCTGTTACCTAATGTCTATTGATTGGAGCTTTTAATGCATTTACATTTCACATCATTATTGCTAGGTATGTAGCTATTGCCATTTTATTCTTTATAACTATGTTTATCTTTTCTCTATCATTTTAAAAATAAATAATATTTTAAAGAGTGATTTTGTATGAAACCTGAAATTCTTAGCTTTCCTCATAATGAATGACATCTATAGATATTCAAAAATGATGCACTAGGATTAGATCAATTCTCTTTATGCTTTAATTTTTAATCTTGAGCAAAATTCAAGAAACAACCAATAGTAAAAACTGTAATTTTATACCTTTATACAGAGTCTCTTCTCAATGAGAATTGGACCACGAATAAAGTTTTCCCATTAAAATAGTTAATTGAAAACATGATCAGATGTGAGGATTTAGGGGCCACATTAGATGACCATGCCCCATGGCTTCAGGGATCTAATGAGTGAGGTCATGCATGTATTTAACATTGACTAACCAATCTATAAATAAACACATTCTTTTTCCAGTCATTCATCAATGCCTGTTTTTGCTTCAAGACTCACCAAGCTTTTATACCTTTAAGTTATTTTCTTAACTAAAAAGCAGTAAAAGAATAGATCTAATTGTGCTGTGTTAACTCTATATATAGATTGTTCTTACACATGGAGCCCCATCATCACTACCCAGCCAAATGTCTACTCTTTCACTTGCCTCCTTCCAGCTAACTGTTGCTTCCCCATTTTCACAATGAAAGACCTTGCCATGCTAACCAATTAAAGTCTGCCCCTTTCTTTTCTGAGAGGAACTCAGCCTCAGTATTATCTGTTCACAGAATTTGAGGTGATATTCCTTATACAAAGACTAGATTCAAAATAATATGAGAGCTCAGAGAAGCAAGTCCCTACAAATTACTGGGTTAGCCAAAAAAGTCCATATAGTTTTTTCCATAAATTAAAAGACACTGTTTATCTTCACCAATAACTTTATTGATTTGGGTATTCTGAGTATGTCAGCTATCTCCTGCATGGTATAATGTTGACTGTTCTCAAGTAATGTCTCGACTTAATCTCTATCAACTTCAACTGGTCTACTTGACCATGGAGCATCATCCAGTGAGAAACCTCCAGCACAAAACTTCACAAAACACTTCTGACATGTTCAGTCACAGCACCTACTCCAGACACTGCACAAATCTTCTTTTGTGTTTTGCTTGCATTTTTACCTTTCTTGAAATAATAAAGCATGATACGGCAAAAATGTTGAATATATTCTTCCATCTTCAATATTAAAATGGCTACATAAAAATTCAACAATTTTGATAAGTATTTTTAAAATGCACACTAACAGCTGTCACAATACAATCTAACAAAACTATTTCAAATAAAGTTAAGATAACTAAACACTTACTAGAGCCATCTTGCAGAAAAAAAAGACAAATGAACTTTTTGGCCAACCCAATATCTTATGATTAAATTATCTCATTTGAACCTTTAGTCCAGTGGTTCTCAAGGTGCAGTACCCAGGAGGGCAGCATCAGCAACAACCAGGGCTTGTTAAAAAGGCAGTTTCCAGACCTCAGAGTCAGCCATCTGTGTCATAATGAGCTCTGGGCGATTATGATGCACATTAAAGGTTGAGAACCCGCTGAATTAGAAGTCTGTGCTCATCCAAAATTGCTGATGTTGACCCTGTCAATTTAGGTGTGGACTGGTATACCCCCCTCTAATCCTACTGCATGCTATTTACCCTGTTATTTTGCTCATGGTATTGAGCAACCAGGGAATGCTGGCTAATAACTCTGGAAACCCTCCAATGTAGCCTCTTCGAAAAATAACTCACATTTACTTTGATCTAAGCACAGAAAGATAAAGCCTGTGCTACCATGAGATTCCTCTTAATAGCTTTTCCTCCAATTTTATTAATCTCTTAAAACTGAAGATAGTAGCCTTTTAAAATTGAATACAGTGTGGAAAAACACACTTTTTTTATTCCCTGCATTCCTACAAAACTCATATTTCCCCTGTGCTAAAAGAAGGAGTCGTCTCTGGTTATACTGTGTAACTGCGTACCTTCCACCTGTATTGTCTATAGCATTTCTTTCTATCAAGTTATGGATCTCACTCCTAAACCTCTCTTCTCTTGCCAATCATTGTTTCAATGATTCATTCCTCCCATTAACTTTGACATGCCAAATGAGCCTTCTATTGTATCTTTATCAGAATAAAATCTGCTCTTAAATTTTCAAATGCCAATGGAACAAAAACATTTGTAGTTCATGTGGCAGTCCTAGGTTCTTATTACATTTACTTCTAAGTCTCTCGTCCATTTATAAACTTCACTATCCACCTTCTGAAGTCTGCTAGTTCCTTAACAAGCCACTTAAATGGAGCTTTGCTTCTCCATGCATGTCTTCTTCCTACTAATAGCACCATCCTGATGACTGAGAATATTTATCATCAAACATACCCAGACTAACCCCAGACTTGATCACTAATCCAAAAAGACTGCCGCACCTCACACTGTCACTACCTTTTTCTCTGGACTAGCTATACACACGACTTGTTCCCACCATCCTCACCTCAGGTCTCAGTCCCTTCTGAGGGACTCAGGATGCCTTCTGATATACCACCTCTCTCTTCCAAAAATGTGATGACTACGATGGAATTCAGGACATGCTACTCCAAGATATGACATCTTGGCATATTGAGTATTTTAAGCTGAAGGAGTTTGAGAAAATGGCAAAAACAGGAAGGCCACTCTGACTCTCCCCTTGCCTTTTCCCCTGAAGCAGTCACAAAGCCCCCAAGTAAGAGGTGTTCTCCCTCTACAGAGAGGAATGGAGCATCCTTATCTCTGAAAACAATGGGACACCAAGAAGAATCCTAACAAACAGACCTTGCCAGGCTTCCCCTAGTGTACTACACTTACCTCACACTTCAGGACTATCTACTCTCCATCAAATTTACCATAAAAATACTTAGGCTTTACTGTTTCTTCAGATATTCATTTCCTCATGAAAGCTCTCTGTCATGTAAAACTTGTATTAAATAAATTTGTATGCTTTTCAGTTTAATTTTCAGACCCAGGGACTCTTTTCCTACTCTACATTAAACTGACTAAGAACTAAGACAGATTTACAGGAGAAACTTCTGTCATTTTCTCACACTCCTTCAGCTTAAAATATTCATTATGCCAATATGCCACACTTTGGAGCAGCATGCCCTGAACCCACCAGTTATTACTCAGCTAGTTCCTTCTCCTGGTTTACTCAATATACAGCCAAATCACTAATTCCTCTCTAAAGCCCTATTGGTCTGAGCCAGCATTTCTCTGTAACACCTTTTCTTTTGGATTTATTGCAACATTATGTTAATATAGCCTCAATAAAAATCAGTCTGGACCTGAAACCAGCTCTTCTGCACTACATATAATCCTTTCTAAAATCTGCTGCCCTGTAATATATGTTATTTATCCCCCAGTTATAGTGGGAATCTATTTATATGAACATATGTGTACATATATAATACATTCATAATTCCATTGCCTTATTTTGATATTATTGTAAGATACAAAACTAGCTATTAGATAAGGGCACAGGAGGTACTAAACATACCTGCTATTACTTCTTAAAGTCTAAAAGTAGGCTCTCAGAAAAGATTATGGGTTAAAGTAAAAAACTACTTTTTAGCAAACTACTTTTCTTTTTAGCAAATCCTGTTGGTGTTTAAATGCCAAATTTCTTGCTGGTGTTTGTCCGTTTGTTCACAGTGCACATTTTTAAAACAATGCACATCCAATTGGGATAAACAGAGAATCCAAATTATTAATGTAAATACTCCCAAATCAGGCCAGGGCATATGGATTACTGTGTAGATTTTCATTCTCTGTATAATATGAATTTATATAGGTGTACATATCTGAAAACTGTTCTTGAAAATGGTAAAACAAAGCTATATCAAATTTAAAATATGAGACCCTTGTTTATCTTAAAGAAAATGTTAAGGAGAAGAAGGAGAAGAAAACACAACAAAGACAATGATGATAGCAGCGAATCCTGAAGTTTCAGCTTCCATAAAATATATGGCTGCCTTTTAGAAAGCAAAATATATAAGCATTAATTTTTCATTTAAGCTTGCAAGATCAACTTAGTTTCTGTTGCTCTGTGCAATAAAATGACTTCCGAATTAAATGACTTCACTGTGAGTGGGACTTTTTTATGTAACATATCACATCATAAATTAACCCTAATAATGGTACAGCTTTTAGCTTACACAGGTTGCTGTTTTATCTGAAAATGTGGGAAGCGTGCAAAGTAGTTAAACACTAAGGAACAGGGGGAAGCCACCAGTGCTCACCAGTAGATAAACAGTACAATGAGCTGGCATGGTTACAAGCCAAAAGGCACATTCTTCCCCTGATTTTGATTTGTTATCAGAGTTTCAGTGGAAAACACACACAGAAGGACGGCAGCAGAGGAAGCAGGAGGCCACTGTGTCCAAGTGATTCCACTAGCCTGTGCTTGCTCACTGAGTCACTCACCTCATAGCCTTTCTCCAACAGGAACTCAGCCAAGTACGAACCATCCTGGGAAGAGAAGGAAAATTGACAAATGTCAGACCCATCATGGCTAGCCAAGAAAGCAGCAAAGACTAAGAGTTTTGAGAAAAGCATTTAAGAAGTAATATAAACTTAAGAATGATGGCAAACAAATTAAACGAAGTAAGAATAATGGCAAACAAGGTAATGATGGTAAACACTAAATGTTTTTCTACTGTTCAATATACATTTTCATAGACATTATTTCATATGAGTGCTCACACAGAAAGAAACAGAAGTCCAGGGATTTAATATGGGGCAAAAGAAAGAACATGATTCTTCAGAATCAGATGGATTTAGAGTTAGATTTCGTCCCTTACTAGCTGTGTAAAACAGTAATCTTCAACTGGTATGCCACAAGAATTTTTAAAGCATGCACTACCTGACTATGTAGTCAGGGGCACTGACCTCTTCTCCCTTAGATTTTCAAATTTAAAAAATGACAACAACCAACACAACGATAGCCATCTGGTGTAAATGAATCAAAATTATACTTATTTTTTCTTGTCAGATAGGTAGAAAATGTATACTTTTTAGTGTGCTGCAGAATTTTAATTATTAGTTTATGTGTGCCGTGACATGAAAAAGATTGAAAATCACTGGTGTAAAATATGTAACATAAGTGAGGCAAACCAGAAGGCCTTAGTACTACTGTAGGAACTTAAAACTCTAATTCTGAGGGTGCCAAAAGGAATCTCTTAGGAAGGGAAGAGATGGTAGCTATGGGAGTTGCAGAGAGAGCAGGGTAAGTGTGAGGGGGAGGCAAAGAACACCAGAGGGCTGACATCACTGGGAAAAGACACCAGTGTAGAGAGGAGGAAGGTGGTAGCCTTTGCTGGGAGGCCTTCCACACACTGGTAGGAGTTTGCTATAATCCAGGGATTCTCTAAAGTCACTAAAGAAAGAATTTTGAGGTGGAAGTCAGGGTAGGGGGTAGCAGACATGATCAGATTTGTATTATTATCACTGAATATATGTGCACATACACACAAACTAAAAAGGAAGGTGCTTATCTGTTTTATAAAATATTAAGTACTTCATTTGTATGCATCTTAAAACCATGCAGTTAATCACTGCATTAAGTGAAAGTGTCTAAACAGGGATATTCAAATGATTTTTAATAATTCTTTAAAAAATTTCTGGGTAATAGTGGTCCATTTAAACTAAAATATTTCATGTGTCACTTCTAGGTTCAGAAAGTATGAGAAATCACTGAGTAGCATAGACATTTCACAAGCAATCCTTTAGCTGCTCTTCTGCTTTCAGTCCAGGCAAGTCCCTTCCATCCTATCCAGACACAGAAAAACAGGGGCTCCAACTACTGAAATTTGTATAATAAAAAGTAATTGAGAATATTTGGGCTATTTTTAAAAAAGCTTAAATATCCCTTTGACCTCCAAATGTTCCTATGAGTTATACCAGGAAAAAGAAAAATGAAGCCTTATTATTATTATTGACTTAGAGATGAAATTGAAGACAACGGTGAGTCCTGAAAATGACATAACTACCAAGAGTGTTTCCTACTTACTGCAGACGTCATGTATAAAATTCAAGCAGGATGACAAAGCAAGGTATACAAGGGACACATTTTGTGGTTCTTTAAAACCCCCAGTGATTTTCCTCTGATTTCTTGACATAAATATTCTAGTTTACAACTCATGTGGAGAAGAAGAAAGATGGTTCGGCACATTTCTTTTCCTTTCAATCTTATGATATATACAACTGTGTAATTTTTATATACCCAATATCCAAACTAAATCATGTAAGAGGACTAAATAATTCAGATCAGGATAAGCCAGGTCATTCTACATGACCATCGGAAATATGCGAGTAGTCAGTAGTCTTATAAATAAATCAATGAGAAAAGAGCTTAACAGAAAAAGCATTTAAACAAGATGAATAATTGTACAGTAGGTTGGAAAGCCCTAGAAAGTATGTTTTGTTTTATCTCGTTGGTGTATCATTTTGAAGCAGCCAATACCATATTTTTCACATTTTATAATTTCTCCTGAAATAAAAAGTTAAAATGCTTTATGCTCTACCATAGTTGCCCAGAAAGTTTTTTGTTTTGCGTTTTTTGTTGTTGTTGTTTTTTTTTAAGGCAGAGGTGAAGCTGCTCAAGAACCATGAAGGCAGGGAGAGCTATGATTATTTAGAAAACTGATGTGAAACAGGCCTAACCAGGACCGAACCCTGTCAATAAGGTCTTGTTCTTCTCACCCAGGCCACTTCTCAAACTTTCCAACCACACTGGAACATTGTGAACCAGCAGTGGCATTCACTTCCTTCTTACTTCCTTGCCAGGTCTCTCAAGTGATAGGGCCTGGGCAGCACAATGAGTGGGAAGTGGAGCAGAGAGAGGTCTCCTGGTCTCTGTCCCAGGGAGCCCAGCTGGCCTCCCTTAGTCCTCTCCCCAGGTCCCTGAGGGGACTCCACTTGGAGACACAATATCTAAACAGGCGGCGTCTATCAAACCAGCAGGATTATTGTTTCTGCCTCTTCTAGAACAGGGCTGTTAGAGATTGCTTCAATCAGACTAAGGACTAAAATGTCATGGTAACTGAGAACCTGCCACCAACATTAAATTCTGACATGTAACTCCTCAGAAATGAATGAACTAATGGACTAAGTTTCCAACTCATTTGCTATGAACATGATCTGATACAGCCTAGGTTCAAACCTTGTTATAAAGAAGTTTTTAATTGGATAAATAATGTCCCAATTGTGACTCTTAAATTTAACTCTGCACAGAGTTATTAAGAGTATCGATTTCATATTAAATGCTAAATAGTTTAAAGTAATCACCATGGCTTTAACATTTTCAAGACACAGAAATATTCTCTTATTTTTACAAGAACTCAGCCTAGAAGGCAAGCAGCCATTTGATATCTGAGATAACTGAGGCACAAGGAGGTTAGTCAATTTGCCTAATATCACACCAGAGATAAAGCCAGGACTAGAATCCATTGTCTCCCATTACTTTGACCTAGGAAACAATCTTCTCTCTATCTGGGACCTACCAAAATACAGCCAAACCCAACAAAATAATAAAATAACACAAGTGGATTCATTATAAAGCAAATTGGTTTAGTCATTTTCCATTGCAAAGCATTTTTATGGATTACACAGTGCTTCTAGTTTTAATCAGGTGACCCAAATCCAGAGATGCCTCATAATTTTAGAACACTCCAGAGCTCAAAGGAGACAGGCATAGTGTCTGAAATTTCTCAGTCTCATTTGGGCACAAGCACTACATGGGAAGCAGTATAGTGTGGTTTGGAGGTGAACTTGGATTGACGGTAGATGCATGATTTGGGTTTTAGGGCCAAGGGGGCAGGGCCACTGCCCAGGGTCCAAAAGGGCCAGACTCAGTGTGCCTGATACCCACAACCCATATATATGGGTATTTCTGTTCTTCACCTTTCACAAGTGAGTACTCAGAAATGTTCCAGCTAAGCAGCCATAAAAATTAAGAGTAATTCCAGAAATTAGCTATATTATATCTGGGCTAAAATAGAAAAACTACCTTAGATTCACACCTATAACTTTAATTTTAAAAGCTAACGAAGAACAGAAAGTTTTCCCCTTCTCTTAATGGCCATGGAAGGCTGAAAAAGCACTGACCAACCTTCACCTCGTATCCACCCCACATCCAAACACGTATGTGCTAGGCAGTCTACCTTCCTGCAGAGAAGGAAACACTAGCATTTCTCTTCTCTGTTCAAACACAGATAAACTTACAGCTTAGAAGGACAAATAAACAGGATACTTTCTTATATGCAATTTGGGATTCTGGTCCCCCTAAACTGCATGCTAAATTATACTGTATGTTTCTGCCTAAGCACCTTTTGTTAGCTTCTTTGAACAGAATAAGGTAAGTAGTACTGGGCTAAAGATCATGCCATAATAAAATTAATTTCTTTTTCTAGATCATCTCAATCATCAGAAAATGGAATACTTCTCTGTACGAGGAGAAAACACTGCCTTATACCACTTTTCATGCTCTTTAACTCTATGTATTCTAATTACTCTAAAATAAGCATTTTTCAGCTTACAATAATTGTAAGCTGTAAGAAATGACTATCATATTGTAATTGTAATTACAATTACAATATGAAAGTCATTTCTACTTCCAATAAGAAAAATACAGGACTTCCGCCAAGATGGAAGCATAGGTGGAGACACTGTGCCTTCTCACACAACCAAGTTTAGAGACAACAAAATATTAGCAACAGAAAACACAGCCAGAACACAGAAAATTGAACTTTTCGGAAGTCCGATAACAACGAATTCTTCAGCCTGACCGGTAAGAGGGGCGAAACCAGAAGGTGGCTGAGCAGGGTTGCACAGGAAAATTCAGTCAGATGGACTCAGGCCTGCGGATCCCAGGCGTGGGGTTGCAAAGGGCCAACCCAGTGAGCGACCTAGTGAGCGACCTAGTGAGCACGACCCAGTAAGCAATGGGTGAATCAGGCGAGGGTGAAGGGCAGCGGGTTGTCTGTGCTGGCGCATTCCTGCGCAGATAGACCAGCGAGAGAGTGGGCAATGAGACGGGACCCAGCGGGTCCCAGTGACTGGAGGCAGCAGAGATTGTCGCCATTTCCTGGCTCTGACCCCGCCCCCACATACAGCATCACAACCCAGCGACCTGAGCAACCCTACCTGGTGAACACCTCAGGCTTCCCTCCTCACCCAGCAGCAGGAAGCAGGAGAGGGGGCTGCCATTTCCCCACTCTGACCCCGCCACCATATACAGCATCACAACCCAGCGACCCTGCCCTGGAGGCCCCGCCCCGTCCCTCATACATAATGGGCACGAACAGACCAAAAATGGCTCAAGAAGATCTCAAAGCCCCAGAGCCCGTAAATCTAAGTGATGAAGAAAGAGCCAAACTTTCAGATGCACAGTTCAAAACACTGGTCATCAGGATGCTCACAGAACTGGTTGATTTTAGTCACAAATTAGAGGAACATATGAAGGCTAAACT